CAAACTATAGAGCTTTACAGTCATTTTTAACACACTTCGAAGTGTGATAATATCTATAATTTGTTTATGGAGTTAAACATTGTAAACACTTTAAATGTTTAGTTTCTAAACACTTGGATTTACCGTGTCATTTAATTGACCTTTTTTTCTGAAACCAGTCATAATCTTGAACTAAATATTAAAATACATTCTCCGAGCGAAATTTTGTTAAATTTAATAAAAATATTTTATCCTAAATATTAAAAATTTTTTCATTAATTAAATAATTTTTTTTTCACAGCTGAAAGTTTTTTCTCGGTGTCTGAGAAATTTTCAGCTAACATATTAGCTTATTCAGACATTGAAGACTTACATAAGTAAAATACAATAATCATACTAATTAAAGTTCCAAGCAGTAAATTGAACATTAACGTAGAGCTTGTCTTCAATACTTCAACATAAATGTGGCCTTTATTCAACAAATGCTTTCAATAATAGCAGTAATTAGTATCACAAATAATATTCTGGTATTTGATCTCACATTTCATGCTGTTACAGTTTGATAATTCAGTAAATCTAATGCTTCTCGGATATCTTTGATCTACTCGAATCAATGTAATATCCTTAGACTGAACAATCATTTTCAATAATTACTGCTCAGCTTTTAACTTTGGAACAGAAGCAGGATTTTGGAATCACTAGCAGTGTATTTAAATCAGATGGGTTATTTCATCAAAATATTTTCTAATTTAAATATTTATTTAGTTTATTTTCTCATTAGATAGTCAATTATTAATTCAATAAATAGGGAAAATCGATCTTCTAGTTAATTAAATAAGTTTAGAAGTGAACAAAATGTGACAAAAAAAATATAAGAAAGCTATTAAACTGTCATTTACACGTGTTCCAATTTCTTATAGTTTGTAACTAAAACTCAAACTATCCAATAGTCGAATTTTTTCAAAGTTAAAACCAGGAATCAACATCGTTTTATTATCCCTCGTTTCTGGGAATATATAGCATCATTTCGACGTTAAAAACTAGCACGTGGCGTAGTCTCTTTATGGTGTTTCCTTCAGTTCCATTTTCTCTTCTCATACGGTTACTGCAAAATATTATCACTTACATAAAATTCTGAACACATTTTATTGTCATCTTAAACTTCACACTATTACATTTTTTTCCATTTTTTATTTTAAAGATTTTTTTTATCTTTTTGTTGAATAAATTTATTTTTTAAAAGAAAAGAAATATTTTTAGTAACTTTCTAATTAATGAAAATAATAGTTTATTTGTGGATTAAATTCGAATTTTCCACTTATTTCATGAAAACTCACTATGAACTGAAAGATAATTGTAAAATTTCAAACTACATTAATTTAATATAAAGTCGCTTTGTAAAATACTTCATCAAAAATATTGGATGAATTTAATTTATGATGAAGTTAAAAGGCAAGAGGAAAGTGTATGTGACGATTATTATAATTCTGGTGAAAAATTTTTGAAAAAAAAGAATTAAAATAAATTTTAAAGCTAAAAAAGCTTTTGTAAATTTTCTCAAAAGCCATAATGTAGGATAAGAAAATTGATTTAACGAGAACTGCGATGATGGAATAACGGAAAAGCATAAGATAAGAAATAACTAAAGTATTATAACAGAGTAATACAGCGTTCAATATATGCACACTATAAATATATTGGCTCTTGAAAGTATAACGAGATAACTTTCACCGATTTCAAACCTCAACGAATAAAGTGTTTGAAGTATAAAAGTAAGATGTATTTCTTTCGTTTCTTCAATGCCGATCGCCAGAAAATTGTCAACATATAACTGAGAATATTGTATTTGAAAAATATATAAAATGGAAAATTTCTATCGATAAATCGTAAAACATTTTATAAAATGAAATTGCTAGTCCAATATTGAGAACGTGCATTCGATTTAAACTCGATTGACTTCCAGTTCATTAATCCTATTCTCCTTCCTCTTTCATTCATCATCCCTCTTCACTCTTGCCATCCCTTCACTCTATGCCTTTCGTTCTTTCTTTCAGGTGGATAAAATCCAGTGGTCAGAATCGAACTAGTAAATCCATGCTCTGTCCAATACGACTTGCAATACTTGACAACTTTATCTTCTTCTTCCAATGTATTGTGTAAATACGAGTGATGTAGAAGTTCAAGTGATATTACGAAAAATTGAAAGATAAAATTTTTATTTATTCTTTTGTGATATTTTTAACTTCTTGGTGGCAAGTTATTGTAATAGGTTCGATTTTATCAACCGCAAATTTGGAGATATTTTCATCACAGTTCAAGGTTTCTATAAGTCAAATACAATAATTCCTATAACTTGAGGATTGTTAACAATCCTGTTAATCAACAATTAATCAATCAAGTTAATTGATTAAGTTAATCAACAATTGTTGATGTATTCAACAATTAGTTAATGATTGATTAACTATTATCTATTGAGTGGATGTCTGGGTGTGTGTGTGTGTGTGTGTGTGTGTGTGTGTGTGTACGTATACTAAAAAAAAATCATGTTCAATTTAAATTATATCTATGTGGAATTTTAGCTATAAATAAATCCTTATTTTAGTGTTCGAGCATTTAGAATAATAATTTTTCATCTTGATTATTTCGAGAATAAAAAAAATATCGACGATTAGGTTTTTGCAAAATCGATCCAGCTATTTTTTGTGCAGAATTAGAAATTTAAAAAAAATATTAATTAGCTGAATTTAGCAATTTATAAATTGTATTATTTATTAATGCAAAATTCAATCATTTTTTATTACTATTGTTATTATTGCATGTTAGGAAGATTTGTATAAAAAAAAGTATGATAATAACACTGTAAATCCCAGTTTTCCAAAATGCTTTATTTTAATGTGGATAAGTGTGTTAAATATGACGTCACCCATTTGATTAACATTGTAATCACTTTTTACGAACTCAAATCTGCGTTAAAAGTAACTACAATATTAATCAAATGGATGACGTCATATTTAACACACTTATCCGCATTAAAATAATGCATTTGGGAAAACTGGGATTTATAGTGAATGTTTTATAAAAAAAAATAGTTGTACAAAAACAAAAACCGCAATAATGGATAAAATTCCAAACTTATGTCAGTGTGGAGACAATAGAAAAATTATTGTTAATAATAATTGAATGTTACTAGTAACAAATAATTATTCGACATTGTTATTTATAGTAAAGCAGTAATCATAATAATAATAATAATAATAAATAAAATATATGGCATTTTTATTCTTTCCACTGGGAAGTCGGTCATGTCGATCTTTTTTATATTTTATTTTATTTACTTTCTACTTAATAATTCAGAAAACCGATTTAAAAATTCGTGATATAAATGTAAAATTGGTTATTATTATTCAATTTATTCCAATTAAATTTTTATATAAACTGACACACAAAATTTCTAAACTCACAAAATATTTATACCTTTTTCATGTTTTTTTTTTTTTTCGCTGTGGAATTACTAGAGCTAACAGTTTGTATGTAGCCATGTCATTGTCTTTTTTTTTCATGCAACTGGAATTTTTTGGGAAAATTTTTCCATAGGAATAAACTTTTTTAATTCAAATCACTTGAAATTCCACAGTTTTTTTTTTTGTCAATAAGTTTCAAATTGCCGTATTAGTACTAACTTTAAATTATCCAAACTCCTGTAATTAGTGTATTCGGAAAAGAAATTATTTTTTTTCTTCATCCGAGACAGCAATATTTAAACTAATTCCTTACAAATAAAAATAATTTTTCGTCTCCATTATGTTAATTTTCCATTTATATTTCCCTTGAGAAATTTTCACATAATAGTTTCCAGTCTATTTTCATTTGAGTAGTCATAACTCGTGCCTTTATCCTGAATAAAAGGAATAACAGTAGAGGAAAGAATGATAAAAATAATGAAAATTTTTTTTCTGTAAAATTAAGTCAATAATTTATCTAGGAATAAAAGTAACTTGAGTAAAATGACCGTCTCGAAATACATAGCGGAAATGACTAGTGGTCGATAGCCGGATATCTAATATCCGAGCGTTCGTCTAGCCGAATACTGAAAAATACGAGGATCGGATAAGCCGTGGACCAGTTTGCCAGCCACGTTTGTTGCATTTTCCTCTTTCTCTCTTCTTCTTTCACGTCTCTTCTGCTGGCATTGCCTGTCGAATATTATCTACCATTACTTTTCATCGGCCTACACCAACACGTGCGCTATTTCCATTCTCGCAATCTCCAAATTGAATTCTTCTCATATTTTTTTTGTCTTTATTACTTTACCACTCTTAACACTAGTCATCAACATAAAAATACCATTTACTAATAAACCCCTTTCATTCATGAAAAAAATAATCTATAGTTCAGTAAGCGTGCTATTGAAAATAGGGGTGAAAATTTAACCTCTTATTTTGCACCAAGGGGTTTTTTATGTAAACGTAATATCGAAAAATTCAATCGTTGTTCTTTTTCTCCTATATTTTACATTTTGTATTAGCTATCAAAAACTTTTATTTATAATTAATCGATATTATGTGAGGAAATCATTATAAGATCGATAGAAAAGAATTCTGCAATACTGGCACGCTCGCATGGTAACTGTAAAATCGTTAGCATGATATTTTTTATTTTATGATATCAAATATCTCGAAAAATAGATTGAATGAAAGAAAATTAAGGCGACAGAAATCTTTGTCACACTGTAAGGAACAAAAAATTTCTTATAAATTATTGTCAATTTCTGCATATTTAAGAAGTTATTGATCAAAATGTGCGGACGCAGACAGGTTAAAATTGTTTATCGCAAAAAAACACAATGACGAGTACACTTTTCTTGTCTGCAAATGATTTTATTGTAATCACCATGTCATTTTACATAAAAAAACCTTGATGCAAAATATGGGGTTCAATTTTCTGATTAAATTGCATCTTTACTGGACTACTATTCATTGATTATTCTACTTATTTGATAAATTGGACGTTTATTGTTTCAGGTTTCATGGATGCGTAGCAGAGACTTACATATTTTAACATCTAGTGATATCACCTTTAGTTCCGATTCCAGATTTAGTCCTGAACATATGCCCGGAAGTGATGCCTGGACATTAAAATTAGAAGGCACACGAAAATCAGACTCGGGTACTTATGAGTGTCAAGTTAATACGGAGCCAAAAATCATGTACACCATTTTACTGCTTGTTCGAGGTACGATACATTTAAAATATTCTTCATATTAATTTAATCTTCATACTTCATACCTCTTGTTTCATCAATCACCAAAAAAATTAATTTTGATTGACTTATGACAGCCATTGTGTAATAAAGAAAAAAAAAATGCTTTTCATAAAAAAGTATTTCGATGACTTTTTGAAATCCATCATACTTATTACGTTTGAATGACAGTATCATAATTGACATATTTACTGACTTATATTCAACATCATCTTGAAAATGATCTTTACCCTTTTGTTATACACCAACTCTTAAATGTCTCTCCTTTCCACCCCATCAATTCTACCTTCAATCTTCTCGAGTATGATCGATTAACGTAATTCCTCATCTTCAAACTCACTTGCCTCTTCGTTGCTTTTCAGATTCTGACAATTTCGAAGCATTTGATTCTCCACATTCTCAGCAAACCCAAACAAGTAAGTATTCAACTTAATTATTTCATTTTAACCTATTAAAATCATTTACATGATTGACATTAACTGCATATCGAAAACTCGATAAAGTTGAAGACAACTTAATGAAATAATAAAAACAATTAATCAGTTAATAATATATATTTTTGAGTAGATGATGTGACATTATTCGATAATTGGAAACACTTCATAGTTTACAGATAATGCGAATAGAAAGCAAAAAATTTAATCAGATTAAAAAAAAAAGTGATATCAGTTCAAAGCATACTTGATCAATAATGTTAATTCATCAATTTATCCATTTCTATATACTCAAATAAAATAATTGCTATTTATTGGATATTTGGAGTAGAGTAAATTGAATTGAATGATAATCTGATATTTTTAAAAACAATTGTTCAATGATATAATATTGAATTTTAAGGAGAAAATTAATAAATAAAGTAAACAAACGTGTTTATGACAGTTAAGTACACGAAAAGAAACTTAAGAACGAAATAATCGCTGCAAACTCTCTTTATTCGGCCATTCGAATCGCCATATCATCGATCACCTTGAGCAAAGAGAAGAAAAAAAGAAGAAATAGAAAGAAAATACATCCCTTCTCTGTCCTTGACACATAGTATACCTCATTCATTTTCCTGACTTTCCACCCTCATCCGAAAGTCTCTTCTCTAACAATTTCCCTTGAATTAAACCAGATGTTTTTACCCGTCTCATTTCTAAGCTTACTCCTAACGAGGGTGAAATCACCATCGTCAGTTTCTCGTTACGACAAATTTATTTCTTAGACTGAGTAAAATCATCATTTTATACTTTTTTTTTAATCTTTTTTCTTAATTTTTTAATCATTTGAAATATTTTAGAGTTTTATTTTTTTTTCTTATTTATTTGCAATACGATAAATATTTTATATAAAACATTCGAAGAAATAGTGATAGATCACATGGATAAGATTAATGAGATTATTTCGTAATAATACTTTCTAATCAAAACAATTTCCATTAATCACATCGTATGCGCGATAATAATTAATACTACTCGCCCGGAAATACTCTAGTGTGACGTTGACATGTTGAAATAACTACGCAGTCAGCATACAGACACTGTCTAAACAAAAATACTGTGGGAGTGGTAGCTTGGAAGCTTAGAAATCATTTAAATGTTTATTTTAAGCTAGAACATCTCATTAATAATAAATAAATTATTTTTGTCATATGCGTTCACTCCTAGTGCCATTAAAAATAGGATTAATATGAAATGTAATTACACCATTTGCATCAGGACATTTTTTTGAATGAAAAAATGTGCTGATTCTGGAAGAAAAATCATTTCCAGGCAAAAAAAAGTGCTTGCCTTGCAATGATCAATTTGGCTGACTTAAAGCCGCACATTTTACTTAATATTTTTACAGGGATGCGAAATTTGAATATACTTCATAGAAACTAATTTGTTCCTTGAAGCCTAAGGAAAATTTTGGTCACCTCACTTTTCCAAATTTCGACCTAGTTTTTGAGATATTTGATCTCAAACATCATAATGCACCATGCTAACCTACAACTGATTACCATGTGAGTCTATCGGTATTACAGTGTACTTATCGATCGACTTATATGCGCAGAAATCATTAATTTGGATTGTGCGCATTTCCAATTACCGATTGGTACACTGTAATACCGATAAACCCACGTGGTACATAAAAAATGCCTGGATCCAAATAGTGTAACGATTTTTCTGCTTAAAATTGCACCAGGACTGGACTATTTACGAAGTAATTAATAAATAAGCTGACTAATAATTCATACTTATAACAAAAGTATAATTTAGCATAACACATAACTAAAATCGAATAAAAATAGTTAAGATTTTTTACTATTAATTTAATAACTCTAGTATAAAAATACTAAATTTTAAAAAGCGGTTCTAGATTAAATTTCATCTTTCAGTAAAAGCTCTTTAACGTGATTCTTAATTAAGTTACAGTTTTTTTCTTAACATCATCAACTTCTAATTTAAAGGAAATAAAAAAATGCAATATTCAATAACATCGAGCGAGAGAGAGAGAGAACTGTTGAATTGGTGTTTTTAGTTCTATTAATTATCTAAAATAACACTAGTGCGTCTGGCATTCTCTTGGAAGTGGCGAAATACTACTTACATTAAAGATAATCCTATTAGGCTTAAATTAATCCGATAGAAGCTACATTCGCTCTAGCATATAATATTATAATACCTTAGACCATTATTACTATATGCATTATTACTAGCGTCTACGATATGATACGTATAAGGTACATTCTACACCACAACTTACAACCTCGTTTGCACTTCTTACTGGTGCATTTAACTTTGAGTTTAATTAAGAAAAAAATGAGTTACGAATAGACGTCCAAAGGAGATGAAAACTAAAAAGAGCTTATCTGTCAAGTTTTATTAAAGTTATATAATTTTATTATAAAGTTACCAAAGTCCTAAGAATATCTAGATCATCATCATTGACGCTATGATGACCGTGTTAATTAAAAAGTTGTACCCATAAAATTACTGGAGAGAAAGAATATTTATTTTTATGTTTCTACTGGATTAGATTTTTACAATATTATTTACATGGATGTGAAATATCAATAAAGTGTCCGATCAAATTCGAGTTGTATCCCTTGAAATATACTAGAATATATATTTTTTGATGCTCTATTGTGATAAATATAGAGGTTTCAATTCTGAGGATGTTTGAAATTTTGATTGAACTATACACTGAGAAAACAATTTTCACTATAAAAAAAAATATTTATTTAAAAAAAAATTTGAAAAATTCGCGATAAAATATTTTACTGAATTTTAACAAAATTTTTGTTGAAAAACGTTTTTTTTAAATTTAGCTCAAGATTATGACGAGTTTAAATACAAGTGACATCAAATTAACTACGATTTTCTGAAACACCGTAGATGAAAAAAAAAAATTAATTCAATGACACTAAAAATTCAAGTGTGTAGAATCTAAACATTTACTACAATGCTATAGTTTGTTTGTGGTGTTCAACATCCTCAGTACTTTCGTGTTTAGTTATTAAACGACTCAAGTGTTTTATTATTAAACACTTGAATTTTTCTTGATTTGCAGTAGAAACATTCGAATAAATTAATATTCAAAATAGTTGAATGAAATAACAATTTTTTATTTCAATAGATTTTTTTTTCTACTATCTGAAGTAGTACCAATTCAAAAAAAAACTCCATCACGACTCTTCAATATTTTTTAGTTTATTAATCGAAAAAAATTTGACTTGTTAACATTCAATTTTTCTCCTCAGTGTATAGAGTTTGTTTTTAAATTAATAATTTAACGGTTTAGAAATTTTTTGTAAAGGCTATTCAAATTGAAAATTATATATTTCAAGGATCAATGAAATGGTTGAAAAAGCTTTAGAGTATTAATCAAAGTGCTCTGTAGTAGTCCAAAAGGTCCACACTACTTCCCAGTGAAAAGAATAATAAAATTTAACTATTTTACCATTTCATTCTCATTTTTGATTCTGTATAGAAAATGGCTGAACCTTATTAGTTTTAAGTTGCATTGGTATTCGTCGAATACAAATTGGTCCCACGTCGATATTATTTTTTGTTCTCGAGGTAATTGAGTAGAAAAATAATTCTGAACGCACACACACACGTCAATTTAAAAACTATTGTATTCGATTCTGGGGACCTTGAAAGATGGAGGTATGTCAAAATTCGGGATTCGCAAAATCGGACCCATCACAATAACTTCCCGCTATAAAGTTAATAAAAATTATCAAAAGTTTTAATTATGAAATTTTTCAAACAATCCCTGAATGCTAGAGTTCTATATTTCAAATGAAAAATTACTCTTTATTATTAAAATGATTCAAAAGCTCAATACAATATCGAATCAACCTTTCCAATTATTTTTTAACGCACCGATAATATCTCTTAAAAATTATTTAACAACGATATATAATAATTACACCATATAATGTATCCATTCTCAAATAATATCCCAGTTATTTCAACAAGCGTAATTGGCAGAAAAAGCGTCTATTTAATGCTGTTTAATCAAACAAAAAAAAGGACGATTTAAAAAATGATTATCTGTATAATAAATGTGTCTACTTGAATTTAATGATTCAACTTATTAAGTATCAATTTTAATAATGTAGTGATATTGATCGCATAATGATTATCAGGTAGCACGATTTTCTGCCAGAACCATACCAGATTAGTCTACAATAATTAACCGCAATCCACCCGACCATAATTACGACTTAATAGAATTTGTTGGGGTACTGAGGGAAGCCGAGAGATAGAAAAAGAAGTAGAGAAGTTCATTGAGATAATTTGTAACCTTACTAATGAACATTTCAATATCTCATAGCTTTCCTATGTGCATTATTCGCATTCCATTTTATCCAATTTTATTATACCTAAAGTATCTATTTTCAATGTTATCCCGAAATGGAAACAGGATTAATTAAATAGTGAAAAAGGCATTAAACCATTTAGTCACGTTGGAAAATTAATAACTAATAAAAGATTAATAAACTGTAATTATTGGTAGTATTATTTCCATTGTTATACTGTTTTAATAAGTAACGACAGTAATTGTTTCATTAATTAATCAAAATAGAATTCAATTAATATTGCTATCATTTGTAAGTGAATAATTATTGTTATATAATTCATGATGATAGCCAAGAATATCTCAACATGGAGATCTGTTTTGGGAAAAATAATTGAGAGAGAATGGAATTTAATTGTAGAAGTTTTTTTTTTCTCAGTGTATGTAACAGTGTGATTTCTAACAACATGAAGTCTAGGGGAGATAGAAGTAACATAAAGCTAAGCTGGAATTAAGCTAAAGATGAGAGCGTTGATGTTTCACTACACTTGACTCCTATCATTGCTTTCATGGGTTTATATCTTATACATTTTTATGACTTGAGCATTTGTAAGAAATAGAAGTCTTCTTGCAGGAATTTTTAATGATACTATAACATTGTGTTGGCAGATCAATTTCATATTGGATTGAGATAAAAAAGTTTTTCAGGTGAAGATCGTTGAACTTAGTTGAATATTGGATCTTGACAAGTCAAATTGATCAATAAATATTATACTGAGAAAATTTCCTTCGGAAAATTAACCACAATGTGAGGGTGGAATTTACCAAGCAGTTTGACCTTCAATTTTTTAGCCAATTTTTCCTACACATTTTTATTTTAATTTACATGCGATTAAAGGATACTTTTTACTGTCATTTTGGGTTCAACTTTCTGCTATAAATATTTTTTTCAGTCATGTATACATGGAAATATTTATTTTAACTCTACAACTATCCAATAAAATTAATAATTATTATTTTAATAAGATAAGTATTTACGTGCATTATAATTATTTTATTATTCAAAGATTCAGGTGTATCATGGCAATGAATTGTAATAACAATGGGCCAGACTGCAATCACATGGTCACCAAAAATTATCTGACTACGTTCAAAGTATGAGAAATTTGTTACAATGAATACTCAACCAATACCTGGCCCATTCAAATTTATTATCATCTTTGGAAAATTTTAATCCTAAGCTTGGCAATCATTCAGCTGCATACGAGTTATTTTTTTATCACCAGAAAGACTATAGTAAGATTTTCTGTTGAGGAAATTTAACTAAACGTACTTGGTAAAATTCACCTTGGTGTCTTATAATCATTCATACTCGTGATTTGTAAAATTTCCCTAGATTTCGAAAATGTCACGTGGTTAATCCAAAGTGAGGAATGAATTCCAAAAGAAAATTTTCTCAGTGTACTGATCAACATAAGAGATACATCTGACTAAAAAGGAATTTATTTTCCATTTATTTGTCAATATAAAAGGCATTTAGTTATTTAGGGTTTAATAATAGAATGTATAAAATGTGAATTTAGTCCTGAAGCCATCATCAAGTCAAATAAAGACCATAATTATTTATAGGCTATGAAAGTACGGCTCCAGTTGCAGCCATAATGGGTCCACGAGAGCAACGGGTTCCATCAGGTTCAACGGTCACCCTGAAATGTATAATAACATCACCGTATCAGCCTCGACCCATTAGAGGTGCACAATGGCTTCGGGACAATATACTCCTGACATTCCAGGTAATTGATGCCGTCAATAAAGATTTTAAAACTGTTCAAGATCTTAACGACGAACATCAATATTCTACTTTCTTTTTTTCCAAGTCTTATTTTATCCTGGCCATTATTTATTATTGTCTCATGATTAAAATTCACCTTTCCAGTTAATTGTTTGTTGTTAATAATATCATTACTCATTCACTTATAACTCGATAAAACTCAAGCTTATAACAGCATTACCAGATCCTTCAAACTATTTTTCTTCTCAGTAAAAAAATTCAGCATAAAATTTCCCCATTTCTATCAATATAAAACTGTTTAGAAATCAATATATTTCAGAATATTAATTGATTATTTTATTATTTATTTGCTAGGGACGAAGTGGTATAGTTATTGAAACGGAGAAGGTTGCTGGTCGTACCGTCTCCGAAGTAACATTGTCTTCTGTAGTGGTTGGAGACTCTGGTAAATATACTTGTCGACCGACAGAAGGAAGAGCTGATAGTGTGTATTTAACAGTTGAGCCAGGTAACTACTAAAATCAATCACAATAATTGTTATATCTACACTGAGAAAAAAAATTCATTCTCTAATTCTAAACCAATGAATTCATTATTCCAACAGTTACACAGTCTAGGTCATACCTTTTTATCAGCAACTCAACCATAAAAGTTTCATCTTCCTTTTCTCCATTCTTCATGATTATTTAATAATTATTGCTATCATGATTAAGTGACATTGACAAATGGTGGTCACTCGTTTTAAAAATTGCAAATCTTAGAAATATCCTTGATAGCATTAAAAAGACTGGAGAATCACGTTAGAGCTATTTGTCTAGCTGATCTCTCTAAAAATGCCTTGGATCCAGATTCATGTATAGGTTTGTGTATGTATGAAGAAGACAAGGCTTGAAAATAGTTGCAAACTCTTATATAGACTATAAAGAATATAGGGAATATTAGAATAGGAAAGGAAAATAAGGAAAAAAATTTAAGAAGAGGATGAAGTGAATAACTCTGTAAGTATGCTTGCATACTAGATTCACAGGGTGGTCTCTATTATCGTGAATTTTTCCTTCGAAAGTTATTGCGCAGTTGCTCTTGCAAACGACAGAACATTTTTCCATAACTCTCTCATTTCTCTTCTCATACCCCTCTCTTTCAACCCTTACTATCCTTGCAATGTGTACGTAAATACATCAGCGCTCACTTTTAACTATAAATCATAAGTTCAGTGACTCTTGTTTCACAGTTTCACAGATTGCAAATTTACGTGGTTTTATAGTAGATATTTTATCACAATTTTCGACTTTTCAGCTAAAAATTTAAGATTAAAATATGTTTTAAATGACATGGACATAAAAAATAAATTTGTTAAACATTGAGTAATTAGGAATGAATTCTGTTTGATGTCGGCATAATTCATTTAGAAATTCATTTATTTAAGGCAATTTGGCATCCACATATTGGCAGTCAAAATGGCGATGAGTTTTTTATTTTTTCCAAATTCATCAAACAACTTTCTACATAGCATGTGTACATGATTTGAAATGGAAGTGATGTTGTGCAGCTTTAAATTAAAAAAATAATTAATTATGATTAAACATATGATTACATAAAAAAAAAAAATAGAACATGATATTTTTCTGAAAGAAATAGCCGAAATTCCAATGGCTGTAAGTTAGATTAAAATGGTTGCATCGCCATTTCCAAGATTAAATTTTCTACTTTGAACAATCTATTGAGCTTTTTTATTGCACCGATACAAAGCAACATTAAAGTGATATTTTTCCTCCTTTCTTTGCTTTGAGGATTTTCTATCAAAAATTGTATACTAATTCTTTTAATACAGCTCGAAAGTCAGACCTTTTTTCTGCTTTATACCTTCAGAGTTTCAATTCTAAACCAAAAACAATCGTGAAAAATTAAAATTAAGTATTGTTAGTTATTTAGGTAATTAAACAACAACTTGATGTTATTTTCTTACAATAGTTCTTGAAATAAATATTTTATGAGCAATGAATTTTTAAATTTGATAAAACATTCTTCAAGTGGCGTAGTAATTAATAAAATTAATATATGATAAAAATATGCATAACTTCTGTGCTAATAATGCTATGGGGTTGATCGAGGGCTCATATGAAAGATCTGGACGAAAGAAAGAAAGTTGATACCTGCCAAAAATGCCGTATCTCTCATAGTTTCCAAGTTATGAGCGTTTAAAGGTTTTTTAATGTTTCACTGCAGCATAACTTCGTTTTCTGCTAATAACTCACGATCTATGAGACGTACATGGACTATGAGGATGTCAATGGATTCCTGAGCACGAGATCTTTCCTTTGCACTTGTTAAAATCATAATTGGAGCATAATTTAGGCTAAAATTAGAGCTAGTTTCTAATTAACCTCAGATTAACAGTGAAAAAATTAATTTTAGAAATGTTCGCATTTCTAGACATTGAGAACAGACAGTTTAATATTGTTTTTTAAGGACGTTTTAGAAACCTCAAGATCTAAGCTGTCTAATGATAGCCATAGATTTATCGAAAAAAATTTATTTTAACCTCAAAATCTCTAAAATATAGAAAAAATCACCTTTTTTTTGGATTTTGCCAAGTATTTTGGCCATTTAAGGATGAAATAAATTTTTTAAACAGATTTTTATGGATATGCATATTTAGCTTAGATTCTGAAGTTTCTAAATACCTCCTAAAAATCATCATTCAAAATTTCCTTCGATAATTATAAAAGTCTAAAACCGAAGGATGGATAAATTTTTTGACCCTTTCACACACTTTGGATCTCTATAATTTTCACACAAGTCTTCCAATAATAATTTTGCGATAGTATTTGAAAACATTTTTTTCAAATTTTATTAATTAACATGCTACTTGAAGAATGTTTCAACTTTAAAAATTTTTCACTGTGACTTTTTGCCAGTGATAGAAATACTTTAAAAATGGTTTGGCTCAGAGGATAATACCAATAAAACTTGATTTAAAAGTGTGGCGATCATAAAAAGTTGTTTACTCGAAAAATCTTCATATTTACTCTATAAGTAAAACAATACACAATATTTTGAAAATTTCAAAAGATAATCAGAAAAGTGTCCACTGAAAATATAAATAATTGTGGATAGAAAAAAAATCGATTGAATGTATTCCGAATTTTATTTATATTATTTTCAACTCGTTTATCTCAAGTATTTTTGTTTTCTTTGTTACTCTTCATTGCTCGGTTGTTCTTTTAGTATCTGCCACAATCAAAAATGTGTCTAGCTGTGGAATAAATATCGTGTCTGCAGTAAAGAAAACTTTTCGCGGCTCTTGCCAACACGCTTGAGTATAATGGCCTTCTGCCCAACAAATCGAGGCTAGACTACGAGCAGAAAACGGCAAAGAATATGCCCACTGTGAAAACGGGGTTAGGAGTACTTTCAAGATAACAAGGATAAGAGAAAAAGTTGAAGTAAAATGTTTTTTTATAATATAAAAAACAAAAAGTTTTTTAACTGAAAGAAAATAAATTTATTGAAATGATCTTGCTGATTTGGCAATTAAGAAAACTGATTTTTAAAAATAATAATCCAACAACTTTTTCAATTAATAAAAACAATTTTTCTATTTATCATTTAAATTGAGATTATTAGGTAATAGACATAAAGAATGTGCTCCTTTAATCGGTTAATACGAGTAATAATTTGTGTTAGAAATTTATTAGACTTCTTTTAAACTTAATAAAAAAAAAAGTAATTCCGCGATAAGGGAAAAATTTTATGAACATTAGATATTAAAAGTCGGTGTGACAGACTTTTCTGCCACAATAAGAGTTGTCACACCAAATTTTTCTGAAAATACATAAAATTTGCTATAAAATGGTATTTAAAAAATTAATTTCCATGAAAGTGCAAGTTACTTATAATTATTAGAAAAATAAAAATTTATAAAAAATATTTCTGCCAGGATAAACTCTGGTACACCAAGCCTATATTGTACCTATGATCAAATACTATTAATTCCTTTGCAAAATTTCAGAATCCGTATAAGTGCACCTTTAGTGTCACCGGCTCCCGGACTTAAACTTTATTTGAAATAATTTAGGCTTTATTTTCCTCAACTCTAAAACAGAGTAGAGATAAAAATAAGTAGGTAAGATCAGAAGGATTAGCTTGGATTTTTTTTTATTAGCACTAGGAAAAAACACAGTATTTAAATGTTTAAAAATTAAAAAAGGCTTTCGGGTATAATTAAGAAGACATTGGAGTAGATTGAACGACACATTGGAGCCATCTAGCTAGACAAAAACAACTCTGGAATACCTTCTGAGAAGTAAGCTTTTTGCTAAGTTGTAGGGTTGGTATGCCGTTGGAGCTAATTCTTATGCGATCATAAATAATGTCGTGCATATATCAAAACTTGGAGTATTTTCCTTGTTTTCTTCGTCTTTCGTTTAATTTGAATATCTATATTTTACTGAGAAATTTTCCTAGAGTTACTGAAGCTTTTTAGAAAATTTTCACTCTCTTTCTGTCATCTTAATGTCTGTTAGTTTTCAATGTTTGGATTGACATACTTATCAATTGTATCAAAAAAATAATCCTCCATCGTAAGAATCTGGCTGACCTATTCTCTAAATCCATTTCCACTGAGGAAAATGTCTAAAAGGCTGCTCAGACAGTGAACTAGTGAATTAATGGATTGACTTGGAGATATTGTATTTGTGATGAAAATTTTTTATGAGTTTTCTTCGACATTTAATATTATAATATTAGCCTAGTCCTGGTGCAACGAAAAATAGAGTCAATAAGAAATGTAATTGCCTACACTATTTGTATTAACGCACTTTTTATGTAAAAAAAATGTGCTGATTCGGGAAAAAAATCATTTCCAGGCAAAAAAAGTGCTTGCCTTGCAATGATCAAAAAAAAAAAAAAATTTGGCTGACTTAAAGCCGCACATTTTACTTAATATTTTTACAGGGATGCGAAATTTGAATATACTTCATAGAAACTAATTTGTTCCTACAAGCCTAAGGAAAATTTTGGTCACCTCACTTTTCCAAATTTCGACCTAGTTTTTGAGATATTTGATCTCAAACATCATAATGCACCATGCTAACCTACAACTGATTACCATGTGAGTCTATCGGTATTACAGTGTACTTATCGATCGACTTATATGCGCAGAAATCATTAATTTGGATTGTGCGCATTTCCAATTACCGATTGGTACACTGTAATACCGATAAACCCACGTCGTACATAAAAAATCGCTTGATTCAAATGGTAGGATTACATTCCTTTTTGACCTTATTATTTAATTGCATTAGCACTGAACTATGGATTTCAATATTAAGTTTATAACTGAAATCCATAAATATTGTTTTTCCATGATATCTTTCAAGTTGAATTTCCTATCATCAATATTTTGAACCTTATAAAACGTTTTGCTGCTAGCATAATCTCATCAGAATAATTAATGGGAATACTTCAGCCTAGTATGTTGGATAAGAAAATAATGCAATTAGTTGAATAATGATAACAAAAGAAATGTAAATTGAAAAGAAAGGAGGTTGATACCATATAAAATGACGTATAGCAGCAATTGAGCAGCATTGAATTGATTTTTGACTCAATTATCATACTATCAGAATCATGATATTCCTTCGTTATTTCTTGACTTTGGCTTTTCACGAGAAAATTTGCAGTCGACTCGCACGCGAAGAAATTTCTTAAGGTAGGAATTCTTCTAAGAAATCCGCTAAAGATGTTGGCTATATATACTTTGAGGTTTGCAATTTTTTGCTTCAAACTCCCTATTTATTCTTTTCCACTATTCGTCCATTGTCCCGCAGGGCTTGCAGATACTTTCGATCGGTTCTCAGCAAATTCTATCGTACTTTATACACTCCAAAGGTATATACAATACTCAACTGGGTAACTTTAACCTTCTTTCAAACTTCCCTACTCCGCTTATACTTAATTCCAAACTCAAACCTCAACGTTTGCCTGATGACTCCATCGGGATAAGAAAGAGTTAAGAATTAGTGTGATTGCTTCGTTTTCAGTTGATTCAAGAGTTTTACTTTTTTTTTTATTGTTTTTTTATGATTGTTTTTCTTACTGAGGTTTTTTTTTTCTGTTTCAGGTGAACGTACTGAAGCCATGCAACGAGATGCCAGTTATGTTGCATCATCAGCGATAAAAACAATCAATCAACTCAACACTTTTATCGTATTTCTTGGCTTTATGCTCAGACATTTTTACTATTGACATCAATAGCTCTCTATGCAGTATTTTTTTATATGCACAATAAAAAAAAATCCAACTGTTTCTGTGTTGAAAAGAGTCCAAAATGAATTTTTACAGTATTTTTTTGTATTTACAATTTAGGTGGAAAATTTAGATTGCGTTGAAGTAATTTTATTTTTTTAATAGTTTGGAATAGGTGAGAACATTGATTGGAATGTATAGACATTTATTAAATAGCACAAAAGTATGTAATTTAAAAACTAATTAGTCCGAGTGCTGATGCAATTTTGAAACAGGGCATTTTTCATGTACCACGTGGGTTTATCGGTATTACACTGACCCAATCGGTAATCGGGAATGCGCACAATCCAAAGTAATGATTTCTGCGCATATAAGTCGATCGATAAGTACACTGTAATACCGATAAACTCACATGGTAATCAATTGTAGGTTAGCATGATAAATAATGATAGTTGAAATCATTAATGTTAATATAAAAGTTAATTCCTTGATTTATGTTTTTTCTTGGTGTTTCACTTTACCCCACCTTCCTCTAATTACACTTCTTATTGCCCGTCTTCTCCGTTGCACCAGGACTGGATTAAAAATCATCTTTAAGAAAGATAAATATTACTCAGAAGTAACATTATTTATTTAATAGAATATTGATATTTTTTAAATTCGATCAATTTTTTATCACTCTTAGAATAAGAGAAACTTAAAGTTAGAGATTTGCACATTTTAGATAAAAATATCAATATTGAGACATTAATTATTTAAAAATATTTAATTGTATATCTTGTAAGCTTTATTTATACTCTGGGGGCCAAATTATTGACCTGTTCCACTTGATTAAATAGAATAATGTATTTAAAAATATCTGAGTGGATGTAAACGAATTTTTCAAAACACTTTAATGAAATAAGTGATATTAAACATCTGACTTAACATTAAAAATGAATATAAAATAATTTTATAATTAAATATTGTAATTTTCTTACCCTCTATATTTCTTCCTTGTATGAACTGAAAACTATTAATCATTAATCATTTCCACATGAAAAGAGGTATAAAAAAGTTTCGTCTTCTCGGTTTTATTACTCATTTATTTCTCTTTATCAGAAGGAAAATTACAACTTTATCATGGACATTTCTTCAGGTAAAAAACTTAAAGATTTATTGCATCAAAAACAAATTTAATGTTTTATTTTTCACAACTTTGATATAGGTTGGTATATAAGAAAAACTTGCATAATTTCACAGCACAACTATTTTATAACTTGCATTCAGATAACTTTATTTACTTATATTTAGTTTATGATAGATTTGGTTTTTTTTTTCTTCTTCTTTTATTTTCAAATTAATTTTTTTTAATACAACTCACCTTTGAGGCCTTTATCCGATGATTTATTGAGAAATATTGCGCTTCGCTTACTAATGCAGTAATTCATTTTGAAGATGGATGGAAAAATGAATTGAATTATACCCTGCATTGATGAATTTTCATTTTTATTGATTTTTTTCTATTCTGAATTGATTTAATATTCCTCTTATATCTTAATTCTTTTATATTCATTGAACATTTTATCAATATAAAATAACATTGTATTATGTCTATTGTTGTTATTTTAATACTGATGGATAAAATAATATGATAATCTGATTTATTTATAATTTATCTCAATCAACGGATTTTTTTTTAAACCGTATGGTATGATTTTACCCCATTGTTATCGACACTTTGATTGATTTAATTAAAATTGACGATATCCAATGGGATGGTGATTAAAAATTTTTTCTTCCTGTAGCTCTTCGTTTTCTTGACAACGACATATCTGTAATATTCTCGAAACACCAATAAATGTCAAAAATTCTCTACGTGGTACAAAAATGACACACGCAGAAATCAAAGGTGATATAGTCAATTCGACATTGTGAAAATGTTCTACTGTCAAATTAGTGAACTTCAAAATGTGATCTCATGGAAAATAGAAATATACAAAATAAAAATCAGAATAGCTGAATATTGGATCTTGACAAGTCAAATTGATCAATAAATATTATACTGAGAAAATTTCCTTCGGAAAATTAACCACAATGTGAGGGAAAATTTACCAACCAGTTCGACTTTCGATTTTTTAGTCAATTTTACCTACACATTTTTATTTTAATTTTCATGCGATTAAAGAATACTTTTTACTGTCATTTTGGGTTCAACTTTCTGCTATAAATATTTTTTTCAGTCATGTATACATGGAAATATTTATTTTAACTTTACAACTATCCGATAAAATTAATAATTATTATTTTAATAAGATAAGTATTTACGTGCATTATAATTATTTTATTATTCAAAGATTCAGATGTATCATGGCAATGAATTGTAATAACAATGGGCCAGACTGCAATCACATGGTCACCAAAAATTATCTGACTACGTTCAAAGTATGAGAAATTTGTTACAATGAATACTCAACCAATACCTGGCCCATTCAAATTTATTATCATCTTTCGAAAATTTTAATCCTAAGCTTGGCAATCATTCAGCTGCATACGAGTTATTTTTTTATCACCAGCAAGAGTATAGTTAGATTTTTTGTTGAGGAAATTTTACTAAACGTACTTGGTAAAATTCACCTTGGTGTCTTATAATCATTCATACTCGTGATTTGTAAAATTTCCCTAGATTTCGAAAGTGTCACGTGGTTAACCCAAAGTGAGGAATGAATTCCAAAAGAAAATGTTTTCAGTTTTAATAATAAATATATTTATTTTGAAAATAGCAATTGATCAAACAATTACTCTATTTAGCAATCTAAAATTGATAGAATAAAAAACTACTGTCCCTTTGTTTTTTTTCTCTTTTTCATTTCCAGTTAAAATAAATGCCATTTACTGTAATCCATAGGAATATTCTACTCTACAATAGTGAATAAACTTTTTGGGCTTTTTGATTACAAAACAGATAAAAATTTTAACACAAACACATTGTATTCTATTCAATTGAACATAATAACAAGTTGGATTTCGCATTATCGAGATGTTCGACTTAATACCTATTACTCAGTGCCATAAAACAGCTATGAACTCTAGTCTAGGTGATGGAAAGTTAGAAAATACATAATCATTCACTTGTTATTTATGACTGAGATCTAACAGACGGATAAACATACATTTTTTTCAAACTCCATCTGTACATACACATCTAAAATGGTTTGTGGGTTGATAAAAAAATTTAATGATAAATAACCAATAAAGCTTGTACGCAAAAAAGTGAGTGAAAAAGTACGTAGGAAATCCTTTAGCAAATACAACTGTTGGGTAAAAATGAATATCCATGAATCTGCTGAAATACATTCCCAACCCTTTCTCTCTTTATTCAAATTTGCACTCATTCCAACTTTCTGCTTGCGTTCATTGGCTGATAAAATATCAGCTGTCCATCGAGTCGTGTTTGTCGATATTTTACTAGTTTAATTGTTTTTCGATAGCCCAAAGCTATTCCAGTTTACTGGCCTTGCTATTTGTTATAGAGAAATTGAATTGTGCTAACGGACAAGATGGCAAGTTACAGTTTATATCGACAAAACTATTTTTTTGCGTTGTTATTCGTTCATTTGTTTTATTTTATGCTTTTTTTCAGCTCTTTATTGACTATTTTTATGCTGCTTCATGTTGTTTATTTCAAACATATACGACAAGCTTGAAAAATATGCAGGATGTCAGTTTAATTGGACGCTTAACAGTCAGCTTTTTAGATAGAAACGAGGAAATTTTTAGAGCTTAATAGCAATGGATAATTAAAACAACAAAGATGTCAAATGAATGTTGCAATTCTCTCTCATTTACAGTGAGAAAAAAACTACATTTTAACTCTACGAATAAATCATTCAAATTATCATAAAATTACTATTCCATCCCAATCATTTAATTAAATGCTGATTACAACCTTTATCTTTTCTACCAAAAACTGTACAGAAATGTAAGCATTTTTTCATTCTAATTTTCGATACTTTTATGGCCGATATTTGGTCTCATTCATAATTCCAATATACAGTGAAACAAACAGGATAATCTTCGATTCGGGTTAGCTTAATTTATAGCCCGACATAACAGCAAATATGTGCCACAAGGGAGCCTGAATGGCGAGATGACGCAGTTTTCCAATTTTCCTGCGTATTCTGCCATAAACTGACATGACCCCTAGTATTTATATATTTAAATACCTGAACAAATCCCCATAAGCATTCAACAAATTATAAAGTACACTGATTAACGAGTGCTATTGTCTGTAAAATTCAGTTATTTTCAATACTAAATTCCATACGCTTCGTTGCAGTATGATTATCTGCAGGGGAGGTCATTCTATAAATTAACCATGAAAATACATCCATATTTATCTTCAATAATAAAATTCCGAGAAAAATGTAATTAATTAATAAAATTACTCAAATTTAGAATAAAATTATTTTTTAGGCCCACAAGAGGCCTGATAACGTACCCAATTATAGCTTGAAAGGATTTTCTAGGCTCACGAAAGGCCCAAAAATGTTTTATAAGCCCACAAAATTACTCCAGGTAAAGATAATTAGTTTTGAGGTACATTTTAAGGAGGCCCAATTTCAGCTAGAATTATTTTTAGGGCCATAACCGACCCAATTTGAATTAAAATTACTTTGTAGGCCCACAAGAGGCCTAATACAGGCCCAAAAATATTTTTCAGGCTCACAACGCACCCAATTTGAGCTTAAAAGTATTTTCTAGACCCAAAAAAAGGTCCAAAAAATGTTTTATAGGCCCATAAAGGGCCCAAAAATCTTTTTTAACTGAAAAAAAAAATTCTTATAAAAACTTATTATTGAATTAACTTTTATATTACAAATTTACAGCTTCAATAATTTATTGTCTAATATGATTATAGAAAATAGGCTAAGATTGGGCCTGTTGTGGTCCTAAAAAATATTATTAGGCCCGACTTGGGCACCTTTTGAATTTAGGTGTATATTAGGCTTGTTCTGAACATTGAAAATATTTTTAAATTAAAATTTAGCTTCAATTGGGTTCTTGTTTTATTTTGAATGTGTTTTGGGCTTCTTTCGGGCCCATTTATTTTCACTCAGGTGGTCTTTTAAATGTCTAGCGAAGAATGCTTTTTATTTTAACAAGGAAAATCATCGAGAATATGTCGACAACTTGGGAGGATGAAAGCTTATTATTATTATTCCTTACACTTGCAAAAATAAAATAGAAATAATAAAAAAAATTTCAATTTTTCATTCCCACTTTTTTCTCCTTTATCGTCTCCCTTGTGTCGTTTTTACTTTTGTATGGTATATGTGGACGACTATGAATATTTCACAAGTCAGCGACAGAAAAGGAGAGATAAAAAAGTATCAAGAGAAAGATTTTTCCAGTGTGGAATACAAGTGAGCGACAGGGACGCGTGTATACGTCCAAACGTAGCTACCTTTTCAAGTTAGAGGGTAGTTGCTCGGCCAACCAACCAACCCCCCACATATCCTTATGAATAATATTATGTATATCATGTCTCTTGCAGAGACACCATCGTTGCTCTTTGCGGGCCGTGAGACAGCGCATGAAATGCATCCATTAATATTTATGTAAAACAAGTGCGAGGTCTAAGTTATGATGAAAGAAAGAGTAGAAATTAAAGAATGCTGAGAGCATTTTGAATTAATTCCACATAATTTTTTAAATAACATGAATCTCCACATTTTTTTCTATTTAAAGAAAATTAACTATAATATAAACAGAGATAGATAGAAGATATTTTTTTATTAACTTATAGTTGTATTGAAAACAATTCCTTTAATGAATTACTCCTCATTTTGGGTTAACCACGTGACATTTTCAAAATCTAGGAAAATTTTACAAATCACGAGTATGAATGATTATAAGACACCAAGGTGAATTTTACCAAGTACGTTTAGTAAAATTTCCTCAACAAAAAATCTAACTATACTCTTGCTGGTGATAAAAAAATAACTCGTATGCAGCTGAATGATTGCCAAGCTTAGGATTAAAATTTTCGAAAGATGATAATAAATTTGAATGGGCCAGGTATTGGTTGAGTATTCATTGTAACAAATTTCTCATACTTTGAACGTAGTCAGATAATTTTTGGTGACCATGTGATTGCAGTCTAGCCCATTGTTATTACAATTCATTGCCATGATACATCTGAATCTTTGAATAATAAAATAATTATAATGCACGTAAATACTTATCTTATTAAAATAATAATTATTAATTTTATCGGATAGTTGTAAAGTTAAAATAAATATTTCCATGTATACATGACTGAAAAAAATATTTATAGCAGAAAGTTGAACCCAAAATGACGGTAAAAAGTATCCTTTAAACGCATGAAAATTAAAATAAAAATGTGTAGGAAAAATTGGCTAAAAAATTAAAGGTCAAACTGGTTGGTAAATTCTACCCTCACATTGTGGTTAATTTTCCGAAGTCAATTTTTTTAGTGATAAGACACTTAACTATATTTCCTTTCCAACATTTAAGATTCGTTCAAGTTAAATATCTGAATATACTCTAAAGGAAAGAGCAAGGAATGAGGTCGAATAAATATAAAAATATATCTAGATAGTGTTGAAACTCACGTTCTTAAGAATAGATTTAATAATAATTTAATTAATGGTTATATAATGAATGTATATGAATACGTAATTCATAGTACGTCGAGTAAGGATAAAGAGAACTAAATCATAAAACGAATATCTTGGTTTCCTTAAGATAAAAATAGCAATTCTCCTCTGTGTAGAACCTTCTTGTGAAAGAGAAGCTTCATAATTACATACCACAGCGAGCAATTAAATTAATTCTTTCACACCCTGTAGCGACTGCGTATTTTCCTTGACTGTCTGTTCCTCTCCTTTTTCATCACATTTCTTTCTTCCTCTCTAGATAGGTTTCATTTAATTTTCACTTGAGAATTTGTGAAAAAAGTGAACGAGAAGATTATTATATTCCATTGAGAATAGTTCAAATAAAATAATAAAATTTGTTTCATTTTTTATAATTATTACATTTATTTAAACAGTAGTAGTGCCACGTCAAGAGATATTTTTTTACATTATGGTAATCGTTCAGCTTCAAACACTCATGCTTTCACATATTTCTTATTTATTTCATTATTTACTCATTTTTAGTTTTATTTATTTATTTATTTATTAATATTACTCTTATTTCTTCCGGCCATTTATTAACTACAACATGATACACAGTTATCAGTATGAACGTTTTTATTTACAATGCAGCTCTAGTTATTTTTATTTCATTTTCTATAAAAGTTGATGCGATTAAATTCGTCGCGATGCTGTGATTCGAATATTTATAATAATCTCAAAATCCGCACGTCACTGCATTGATTTTATTTCACTTCAGCGATATTTGTTCCTCATATATACGATATTAATTACTTTAAGGGAGTATTATGGTTCAAATGTCAAATATTTTTTGCCTAACTTATTAGTGCTATTTCATCAAAAACCATTTTTTTTTTAATATTTACATTACTAATGTATTTTATTCAAATGATGGAATTGATTTGTTGAATGAAATATGACTTTTTAGGAAGTTGAATAATATAAGTGTGAAAATGCTGTTAACTGAAAAATATGTTGTTATGTATTACATTGAAAAATGAATTCTTCTGTCACTCTTGAGATGAAAAACACCCCCTTAAAGATTTTGATAGATTGAAAGCCATCACACAAACGACATCTCGTTAGTTTTTTGTATTAAAGATAACCAGAAAGAAACGAATTTTCTATTGTCCAATTAACGAATTTACAAATATTAAAAAGTATTTTTTTCCTTTTATATTTATTTGTATTATATAATTAATATAAAATAAACGACGTTTCATCACTTAAAATATTTTTCTTTTACCCTTTGCTTATTTTATATTATGATGATTATCATGGTGATTACTTTAAAAAGAAATTTTTAATCAATTAATTAATTTTTATTGGTTAATTTATTTATTATTTATTAATTGCAAATAGAAGATATAAAACAATTGTCTTTTTTTGTGCTTGATTTGATGTAGAGTCCCATTTTTTATAGACTTTGAAGAATAAAACACTACGAATAGATTAAAAATTGTTTGTTTAATTAGTTAACTAATTAATGAATAAACTGTTAATAGATGTCAATTAATATAAATCGTCGCTCTCATTATTTAATAAAATTCTTTAGATTCATTTTTTTTCTTTTCTAAATTTTATTTTTTATCTCTATATTATAGTTTATTTTATTTTTAAGTTTTTTTTTCGGTGAAAATGAACCAATGAAATGTTGAGAATTCAACAGTCTTTGAATGTCAGCTCGTCGAAGTGTATTTTATTGATAAAAAATCTATACATCCTAAAAGTAATCGAGTAATTATTATTTTATTTCCATGTAGTAATTTTTTTTTTTTTTCAGAGTATTTGATTTTATCATTTATACTCTTCATTTTTATTACCTAAATTTCACCTTTAAAATTTTATTTCGTCATAAAGCTATTGAGTATTATAATTTTTTTAGTTCTATTTATTTATATATACCACTTTTTCACCATAAACAATTTTATTTTTTCACTACATTCATGGCTTTTCTTATATAACGTTTTTTTTTCTGTAATATACAACAAGTAATTTATTTATTTATATATTTCTTTCTTTCTTTGTTTCTGTTATTTCTCTTGGTAGTTTCCATTGTCAATATTGCAGTAATAAATACTAAAATAATATTTAAATTTATTGTTAATGCAAATTAAATTTAATAAATTTTTTATTTGATTTAGTGTATTTGTTTTATTCGTTCGTTTGATTTTCGACCAACTGATAATCATTTTTACAAATATTTATCCGAGCAAAATTTGATTACTTTATTAAAAAATAAATTTTTCTCATCATTTATAATTTTCAATAATTAATGTTTATTTAAAAAAATTATTGAGCTTTTAATAATAAATAATTAATGAGAATAATATAAAATTGTTTAAATAATAATCAAAATTTATTTTAACCTAAATAACAATCCAGAAAAAAATAATATTACAATTTTATTCAAATTAATATTTAAAATTTTAAATAAATAATAAACAATAAGTTATTTATTTTTAATACTCTACGAATTACCTCACACCTTATAAATAATTTTTATTATCTTACAGCTTGTTTCATTTTAACCTGACTATCTTTGATCAATTATTTCATACTTTATTCTAATAATCATGAGAGCGAACGATTTTGTTCTCTTCGAATTAATGAACACTCTAATCAATTGGCATGCGAATTGATTTCGTTTCACAATATAATTTTCATCATAATCACAAGCATTACTAACGATTTTTTAAGTATATTCAACTCACATATATTATAATAAATTTCATAATTTGATTATTTTTCAATCGATGAAAAATTAATATTCAACTTAATACTCATCTTTCTTTTTTTCCCATTAATATTAAAATTCAATAATATTAATGATGATCAATGATAATATTAATTATTTTCTGTACAGCAAGGTTATTTATATAAACATATTAACCTAATTATTATTCTACTGATAACTTATCTGTTATACATTTACAGAGAAATTCACCAATTATCTACTATCATTCAGTTCTTCAATTAATTTTAATCATTTATTATTTTTTATATTAATTTCAAATAAATTTATCATTCTTCATTAGTGATTAATTTATTAATTCAATCAATTTTATTATTAATTATAATTAATTTTTTTATTTTTTTTTGTCTTGACTAGTTCGATATTTATTTTTATTTCTCTCCCACTCATACTCTCTTCAACACATCACTAATAATCATATATAAACACCATTCTGGAAAATATAACGAGCATACAAATACATATTCATACTTACAGAAACATTTATTTCAGGCTTATGTAATCGATTAATGCAAATACTCAATTCACATAATGAATTTTTTTATGCTCCTTTTTCATCTATTTATCATTCGTTTAATTCAGTATATTTATTTAATTCCTATCATTCATTAAATCCACTGGTATTTTGTTTATTGATTTGACCGTTGCATCAAGTTTATTATTTCAGGTAAAAAATAAATTATTTTTCTAAAAACCATCAATTATTGATTCATTATCTTTTAATATCAATTGACTGACGAAGAGTGGAGCTTTCCAAACATGAAGTACTATTGAAATGAAAATAAGTTTATTCGTGTATCAAATTAGTTGATTTAACGATTAGTTAATGAAATACTTGAGCTGATTAATGTATGATTAATGGCTTTTGGAAAATTTTACCTGTTAATAATTGAGTGCATAGCCTGAATTTAAACATTATTAGGCCTCTTATTCATCTAAAATACTTGCTCATCTTAGTAAATTTGCAATGAGAAGCGTGAGCATTGCCAGGAGGATGGTAGGAGTCACTCCACAACTACCACCATGTTGCATCGCTGCTGGATGTTCCCCTGAAACACAGTTAACATATTTCATCAAGTTGATTGCTTAATTTCATCAGCTTGATTATTCAATCATCAATAACATACGTCTTCCCTTCGTCTATTTATTGAATTGAATATCATCATTTTATTTTATTTTTGATTCTTTTCAACGATATAATACAGCTGCTATTATAGAATGATTTTTTTTCCCAATTCCAGCTCTACAGTAAAATTAATATATTGAAATGCTCTTCAATAAAATAACAAACTACCGAGAGAAGGGATTATTTCTGATTTTTTTTTTTATTTGTGAAAAAAAAGGAAATAGAAAGTCATTCAACGTTGAATTGATGATAAAAAAGTTACAAAATTTGATTTTATTGATGAAATTATTTTTTTAATTTAACATTAGGAAGTTATTGGAATGAAATTTATTTTTAGAAATTTATTATTCTGTCATTTCTCTATGTTTAAGATATTTGGAATTATATGAAAAGTTTTACAAATATATGTATGTCCGTACGTATAATTGTACGTACGTATGTCAGGTTTTTTTTAAAAATAAGTTAAAAAAAAATATTTAAAATAGATTTTACTTATCAGATGATTAACATTATTGACGACTGAAGTCAACATCAATACGATGTGGTTATTAATGATTCCTCATGGCTCTAAACAATTATATATTGTTTATAAAAATTTTAATTTTGTCTGAACAATTGAAAAAAGTTTGAATTTATTGAATGATTATTATTATTACATTTTTTCTCATTACTCTGGACGTACTTTAAATGTTTTCTACTGGCAAAAACCATGTGTGTATAAAATAATTAATGAAATAATGATGAAAAAATCATCAACCTCTCAAAAATCATCGTTTGATGATTTTTTCATAAGTTACATAGATCCAAAGTCAAAGAGTAGAGAATTTGTTGACCCTTACTCGACTTCGGACCTCTACAACTCTTACACAAGTCATTAAATAATTATTGTAAGGAGGTATTTAGAAACTTCAGAATCTAAGCTAGAGATCTATATCCACGAAAAACTTCAAAAAAATTTATTTCACCCTCAAAATGACCAAAATAGTTTGCAAACTCCCCAAAAAATGTGATTTTTTTAATATTTTAGCGAGTTCAAGGTTAAAGTAAATCTTTTAAAGATTTTTTATGGATATACATATTTAGCTTAGATTTTCAGGTTTCTAAAACGTCCCTAAAAACAGTTATTGGACCGTTCGTTCAAGAGTTATAAGGGTTTAAAGTCAAGGAGATGATTTTTCGTAATTTGTATCCAGTTTTACCCGTTTTTAAGGGTGTTAAAGTAAATTTTTCCGGGCTGTGCCCTGATTTCGTATTTTTACGCATCAAGACAAAGAGAATGAGTGGTCAAACTTGAAAATCGGAGTACTTTTATTTTTTGGCCTAAAAAAATGGAAAGGGGTACCACTTGCCATTTTTTGGGGTCGAAAAATAAAAGTTGGCCGATTTTGATGATCGAGGACTCATTCTCTTCGTCTTGATGCGTAGAAATACAAAATCAGATCAAACATTCGAAAAATCAATTATTTCACTCCTAAAATGGGGTAAAACCGGAACTTGCTTCAATTTTAGCATAAATTATGTTCCAATTATGATTTTAACTATATCGAATTTTTCCCTGCCATCTAGATCTTCCATATGAGCCCTCGATCAACCCCGTAGCATCATTAGCATAGAAGTTATGCACATTTTTATGTCTTACCGTTTCTTGCTAATTTCATCATTATTTCATTAATTATTTCATGTATATTGTTAATGAATATTAATAAAATATTGTTATAAATAATTTGATGTGGTTAATTATTTGTATATTATTCATAACAATAACAATTCGTTATCAACAAAAAAAACTCAACAATTACCAAATTAAAAATGTTAATAAACGGTAAGTTCGTTGTCAGGTCACAAAGTGCCTCCCCACCCATATATATATAGAGATTTTTTTTTATATGTTTCCATTGATTAATTAAGAAGGATTGTAGTAATTAAAATATTCCTTATTTCAATTTAGAATTGATGAATATCCAGTGTAATGAGAAAGTTGTTTGTAAGTAGAACATCCAAGTTTTGTTCCGACAAAGCACAACCCAGTATCAAAAATAATTCAGGACGAATTAAAAACGCGACTATCGCAAAACAAAATTTTTTCTACACTCTTATAATAACATTTTCCATAAAAATGTCATAAACATATTTCATGATTTACTAGGAAGTTTTTTATGAAACTCAACGATAAAAATTTGACGACTTCACAACAAAACCTACGAAAATTGACACCTCCTACTGTTGTACAGCAATGTTTCACCGAAAATGTAGTGCTCCAGAGTATAATTCAGCGTAATTAATGTGATAATTAAACTTTTTTAGCTACAGTCATTCATTAAATGAAGTTCTAATTCCAAGTTTACTCTCCGTTTTAATACACATGAATTTTTATGATAGCATTACAGTAAAAACTACAAAACATTTTACTTGATATTCAGAATTCAGTATTCTGTAAATAATATCTCAATACTTGAGAATTATTGATAAAACCACAATGTCTATTGACGACTATGAATGAACTCGGAACTTGGACTAAACAAACTTTTGCTCAGTTAAATATTTAAATATCTGAATATTTAAGAGGTTTGGAATTTCCAAATGATGCTGCATAATAGATGTTCGATTTTATCATTGATTATGCAAGATCAAATCAAACTGCACTTGAAAGAAATTATTAAATTACATGAATGGTGATGTAAACTTTTATATTAAAAAAAGAAAACTTTTTTTTCAAGGAATAAATAAATATTGATGTAATGTTGAAAAAAGAAAGGGGGGTGGGGGAAAGAATTAAAACTATTATCTCATTACAAATATTTAATGTGCCGTTGATCAAGCAACGTGACACCTCGTTATAAACTTTGACAATTTTGAGATTGACGCGCACCTGGAGCTCGTTAAGTCTCTCCCGCGAACTCTAGTGTTAGCATTTCGCGGCTTCGACTAGATGCATCAGGAAGCTTTTGATCTATTACCAAAGAGCCAACGTCATGGATAATTTAGTACCTCGTTAGTTAACTGATCGTATGACTCAACCAATGCAATATTCTCTTTCTATAAAATTAATTGTAGGCAATTCTCTTTCTCGAAAATAGGTAGCCACGAGAGTTATTGACCGTGGATCTTCTGATTTAATTGGAAATTTCCGCTGTGGTTGACATATGGGATTCAACAAACGCTACTTTGAGAATAGTAACATGCTCGGATTCTATAGAGTCAATGTAATTTTAAACAGTGATTGAAAGTTTAACATTAAAATAATTGCCTCGGGTTATTACTAATCTCGAGTTTCATATAATTAAATAAAATAGAAATGAAATTATAATGGGTCGGGATGAACTTTGTAAAGCTAATTAAAATTTGTCATTTTGTTATCCTTTAGATTTGTTTGTTTATAATGAATTGTTTGATTACATAAAATTATTTATAACAACATTACATTGATATTTATCAAATATTACTACAGTAATGATAATTCAATGAATTCAAACCATTTTAACAAATTAAAATTGTTATAAACAATGTATAATTGTTTAGAATCATATAAAGTCATTAACAAATATTTTATATTGACCTCAATTTTCACTAATTATTAATCATTCAATTAATAGAATCTATTTGAATATAAATGTCTTCTTTACTCAACTTATTTTACACTCTTTTTGTTGTAAAAAAAAAACGGCTAGACCGAATTTGTTCAAACTTCCTCCAGATTTTCTCCATCGTATTATCTTTAAAATGAAATCAGCCCTAAGTCGATATCTTCATTAGTTCTCGAGATATCGAAAACCAAAAAAATCTGACATACGTACGTACAATTGTCCGTACGTACATACACCCCTTTTGAATATCTTGATATGTTTTTAAATGTCTCAGAACGTAAAGAAATAAAAAAAATTATGAATTTCAAAAATGAATTCCATTAGAATAACTTCCTAATAGAAAATTAATATTAAGTAGTCCAAACATCAATTTGCCATTTCAATAAATATTGTTTTTTTTTTTAATTTAAATTGATAATTATGTCTTACTAATATGTTCCTCATTGTTATTCATGACTTGCTGCTTACGTTTACAAGCCTGCTGTTCCTATACATCCATTGTATAATTAAAAAAAAAATGTAAAATATTCTAGAACCTTTTTATAATTTCTTTTTCTTGAAAGTTTGATCAAGATGGCGGATGTATATTTTCAACAACTCAACAATTAAATTATATTTTGTTAAATGGGAATAAATAAAAGCATCTATTAACCCATCTATTTTATTAAACTCAATGTAAAATTTTGATACGAATTTATTTTAAAGTAGGAAAAAAAAAAAAAAAATTAGAAACAACCTGTAATCATCTCCATCCACAATAACCTGCTTACAGACCAACAATCCCAACAAATTTGCATCGTGTGCGATTTTGAAATCGTGAATGCTGCTAAATAACAGCTGCATAATACAACAATGGTTTAGATTTCCACGAAGGGATGTATTGCAAGGGCGAAAGTGTGAGTCAGGAAAGGCGGAATGAAAATTAATGTGACGCAGTTCGTCTGCATAATTAATTTCCTGGAGATGTCCACACATTTACCATGGATGTTATTTGAAACATATACCTGATTACACTATAGAATTTACCGCAAATTTCAATTATTTTGCGATAAACCCACCCCTCTGGGGCACGTGAGCTTACACAGAAGGGGAAAGTCGTGGTCAACTGGCTATCTGGTCACGGCACGAACGATCTGCTGCATTAACGCGATTATCAATTTGACTATTTTATATCCTCGCTTTTTAATTCATTCATTTTACTCTACTTTATTCATTTCAGGATTTAGGATTTATATCATTGGCTAATTCTTTTGACTTTGTATATTGCCCGTAAATTGAAATAAATTTTTCATCAAATTAAAAATAGACGTTGCAAAAAGGCTGATTTTTTGAATTAAAATGATTAAAAAAAAAGAGTTTTGATGAAAACTAGTTTATTCAGGTACTCCATAGGAATGAATTTAATAAAGAGGCAATTGTACTGAAGCTTTTTTCCTTCATAAAATATAAATATACATAGATTGAAAAAATACAGTGAATGAAAGTACTGGTTATCAAAAAAAAATCTAAAATAAATCAAAATTCATGATAAAAATGGTATCAGTGTTGGTGTGTTTTATAAGAAGGATTTTGTAATCAATCTAAAGAGTGTAATTGAAGTAAGATGATGTATCGTAGTGACACCAGTCTGGATAATATTACATTACAGTGTCCATCAAAAAGCGTCAGCTGGCATTAGTAAAGAAACCACTTACCATTCAGCACGTGAACCATAACACTCGCAGGATTCGCATTACTAGGGATGCAGGTGTAATTTCCGCTGTCGCTAGATGTTGCCTGCGTCACGAGTAGCTTGCTTGTCGTGCCGCTTTCCGTCTTTTCCGTTTCCAAGTTAACCCCGCCCCTGTGGTGAACGCTGGATTATCAAACATACTTTCGTGTCTACTTCATTTTATGCGAATAAGAATATTTTATCATGCTAGTGAGTTAAAATGAATTTTCTCTTCAAGCCAGAAATTGTTCTTAACGGTTGAGGTGAAATAAGAGTATTTGAATCTTAATAGAATGAATAAATGTACGTCTTGTGAATACAAACCTAGGACTATCAAAATCCACAATTGTGCTTCCGTGGTGCCACGTGACACTACTTGGAGGTATGCTTTGCACATTTACTTTGCAGGTAAGACTTATTGTACTTCCTTTCTTAACATACACATCCTCTGCTCCTAAAATTGTTGCTTGAGCCGCTGAAACATTTATTAAATTATTTCTTTTTTAGATTTACACTTAATTTGTTAACATTTCAGTGGAAAGATTTTGCAATGAAGCCGATTTTGGGAAACTTAAATTTTGATGCATCTCCATGTTTCAAAGACCCTGGAGGCGAATGCAAAGATTTTTAAGTAAATATCTGCCCGAGTAGAATTTATTTTAGGCATGCCTAAATATCTAATGAGCTTTTATTGGAAATCAAATGGGTTGAGACATTTAGGCATTCTCAACCTATGCTTGATTAATTTGGTTTTAGGATGAAATAAAATTTGCCCAATTTTGCACTACCCAATAACATCCCAATTACAACCTTATAAGGAATATATGAATATAAAAGATTTACATTAAATTATGTATTTTCTTTAAATTCCAATAATAAAGTATTTTAATAATATAAATATTTTCAGATATCCTTTTTTTTTTTTAAATAATAGTTAATTGTTTTTATTAAACCTCAACTGGATTTTGTTGACGGGAAATATATTGTAGTTTCAGGAAAAATAAATCATTTAAAGGTATGAAAAAATTCAAACGGTTAAAATTATTTATTATTGAGATTTAAAATAAATAATGGTTTACATAAATCTTTTGAAAAATTATACATGTAGGTTCGTTCATATTAACCGCCTAACTTGAAATTAGGAAATTCAAATTGGGTGCAAACTCTTTCTCAACAATAAATTCTACTCGGGTGTGTGTGTGTGTATGTACGTATGTGCATTTGGAATTATTTTTCATCTCGATTGTCTTGAAAACAATAATTTTTTGTGCAGAATAATAAACTAAAAAAAAAAATTTTAGAGAAAAATATAGGATTATGGATCACTTTCTGTTTTTATTCAATTACATTTTAAATTTTTTGTTAAATTATCATCAATTGTCACTTCTCGAAGTTTCTATTTATTTCTCAATATATTTGAATTAGCTGATGGAACATGCACCATGCTTGCATAAAAAACGAATGGACCATATTAAAGACTGGACCATAATCTTGCCTTCTCCTCTACTATTTATTTATTTATTTATTAATATGAAATCCAAACATATTTTAAGTAATATTATTATTATTATTATAATAATTAACAACAGTTGTGTGAAAAAAATGATAAGAATGTTTTATAAAAAAAACACTTAAAGTGCTTTAAAATATCACTACAATGTTAATCAAATGGGTGACGTCATTTTTAAACACTTTAAATGGTTTAAATTAAAACACTACGATTTACAGTGATGACAGTGAAAAATGATTGTTAATCATAATTAAATATTGTTAATAATTATTCAATATTATTAATTACAGGAAAATAATAATAATAATAGTAATAATAATTATTATTATAAATAGGATATATAGGATTTTTATTCTTTCCACTGGAAAGGCAGTATAATATTCCATTTGTTTATAAAAATATTAATTTAACTATTTAATACTTAATCTTCTGTTGTCATAATTATTTATGTCACATTTGTTTTTGAGATAAAATTTTCTAGTGATTCAGTCGAGAATAAATAAAAAGCTCCTGGATTAAAAAGAAAAAAAAAAGAAGGGATGTTTAGGATTACAGATATTTTATTAAGTGATGTGAATTATTTATGGTGTAGATATGCTTTCATGATGTGCAATCGATTGAATAATACTGTGCATGGATATTTTTTTAAGACTGTCACCGGAAGTTATTGATCTTTCAGATGACCGCGAAGGACGATTTATCTGGCGTTCTCTGCTCTGATTCACGTGGTTGAATCGTATCGCTCATTCAGCGACTTTGTTGCTGCAGTTACTTGAGCTTGAAATATTTAAAGATCTTTTAGAAAGATCTTTAAACTTTTCAATTTATTTTCATCCTCGAAATTGTAAATATATTTTCCGCAAAAGCCATTTTATGCTAATTTTTGAAGATGATGGAATTTATTAATAAAAGAATATTACTAATTAATTAAAAGGTAAAGTCTGACAGCAAAACGGCTAATCTTGTACATTCATTTGTCTCATACTAGCAATGCAAATTACTTGCCAACTCGTAGTACAACGACTCGCGCTAGATTTCACTCGCAAATATTGATAGTCTTGGTCTCTGTCTTACTCATGGTGTAACTTAACTGGGGAGAGTAAGTTTGCGTTTTCGAGATCGAGGCGTTTGGCAAGATATAGCTTGCCAGACAGGGGAAAGTGAAGCCAAGGCTTCGCAGTTGAATTAATCAGTGTGCTGAAGGTAACACCTTCAATCTACTCTTACAACTGATACTCAATTGTTCCAGATTGTCGTAACAATGAAATGAACATTGAATTAATCAATTCTCTTTTTTGTGATGAATATTTCATCCGTTTTTATTTACAATAAAAAATTATTGTCAATATCATTTCGAATTTTTTATATTTAATTATTAACCTTTTGAAACCTCAAGTGACATTTGTGCAATACAAAAACCATGATTTTGAAACAATAATAATGCAATAATTAATATAACAACAAATAACAAACAACAATAATTAACAACACATTGCTAAACCAAGTGTTTTTTTTTTGTAATCACTTTTAACACACTAAGTTTGTTTGATTTCAAATGTCATGAACATACCATAGATTTTTCACACACTTCATGTGTATTATTTTAACACGTTTGTAAAATCTTGGATTTGCAGTATAGTAATAATAATTAATTGTTTTTATTTAGTTAGTAATAATAATAATTTTTAATACTGCAAATCCGGAGAAATTAAAGTATTTAGCAAAAAAAACACTTAAAGTGTTTAATAATAAAATACCCAAGTGTCTACAATGTTGAACACCATAAACAAACTATAACATTGTAGTAAATGGCATCACTGTAAATTTAAAGTGTGTTAAAATAACACACTTTGAGTTTATCCAATGCTAAACTACTATACACAAACTATAGGGCCTTACAGTCATTCTTAACACACCTTGAAGTGTGTTAAGATCTATAGTTTGTTTACGGAGTTTAGCATTGATCATTTTTAGGTATGTTTACTGTTATACACTTTGGATTTACAGTGAAAGAAGCGTTTAAAAATCATCTACAAAATTCCTATAGTTTCTACATGTTGTTAAACACTGTAAACACTTTAAATGTTTAGCTTCTAAACACTTGGATTGGCAGTGAATATTTAAATATTCTTAAATTCCGAGAAATACTTGTTATCAACACAATTTTTTTTTAAGATCTTGGAATACAAAGGGTTCAATGTTAGATGATGACTGATGTTGATGAATGAATAGCAAATGAGAAAAGTGATTGAATAAAAGGTAAAAGTGTAAATACCAAATAATAGCAGCTGTAGAAGAAAATCATCAAACTATTTAAATCCAGAGTAAACAACTTAAGAAAAATCAGACCAATAAAAGACCCTACACTCGATAGCTCACCTTCAACCCTCAAAGCAAATGCTAACTTCATCGTGGGATCAGTGTTGACTTGACATTCATAAAGCCCAGCATCCCTTGGTTGAACATAGTCGATTATCAGTCGCCATTCATCACTCCCTTCCGGATGCTTCACCGAAAATCGTCCGTCCCCTGTATAAGTGATTATCGAGGACGTTAGAATGTGCATGTCCTTCATCCGCATCCATGATATCTGTAACAATAGGACAATAACTCATGAGTTTTACTCATTGGAATCCAGGTCACTTTCATTACATATGGATTAAATGGACCTTAAGCACTAAAAATTCCTACAGATTTATTGTGTCATTCGTTTAGAAAGAAGTTTTATGAATAAATCTTTGCTAATCAAGTGCTGGATTGAAGATTTATCAACGATAAAATAAAATGAAAAAATCGAAACTATAAACAACAAGGAAAAATGTAAAATGTGACATTTATGATCTTCAAGAACTTGTGTTAAAGCCACCTCTTTAATTATAAAAGAACGTGCTGCTATCTTAAATTTCTATAGTCTTGCGCTTTATACGAGGCCATGGAGGTCGTTAAACGTATGTTCTAACCGGATAAGATGAGGATATTCTCACTGGGTCGTTAATTACCCCCATGGTAAGGATGAAAGTTGTGTAGTTTTCTCAGCTACTTTTTCTATTTTTTTTTATTTTGTCTTTTTCTGGCACTTCTAGCGTTTTCTAGAGTTCAAGAAGTAGACAAAGTCCAAAGAAAGTAGACAGCTACGACGGAAATGTTCTCTAAGTTTGCAGAAAAAAAATAAAATAAGTGCTTGCTAATTGTTTGAGTTTTTAACATTTTTTCTTCTTTTCTTTCAAATTATTTATTTTATTTTAATTCTGTGGTTAAAAGACTATTCATCATTGGACCAAGTTGTACATACTTTTATCATAGTTGGGAATGAAAAATGATTTGGTTTTATTTGGGAAAATTATTTATTTGAAGAAAAATTTTAATAACGGAACAAAGTTGAGAGGAAATTATTTGAGAAGACGAGAAAAGGAAAAGCGAAGAACTAGAATGAATCCTTTGAGATGAATATATTTTGAATATTTCTGTAGACTACTTGGTTCAGATACTTATTACTCAGTATTTGATCATGCTTCAGCACCTCATTTTACCTTCATTACCTCGATTCATTATAACCAAGTCGTAAATATTATAGAAGCTTAAATATAGAATAATTTCATTACGTTCATTTAAAATATCATGAGTTGTTTCTATGCAGAGGAACGTGGGGTAAAGTGGAACACAAAGAAAAAAAATGAATCATTAAATTAACTGTTATGTTAACAAATGGTAATAATTTTTAATCCATTAGTAATGTGAAAAATTGATAAACAAAAAACGCAATAAGCGTTTTTAAGCTTGTTTTAATAAATTAGTACTTTTTCCCAAGCGTTCCATTTTACCCTCCCTCCCTCAAACATTTTTAACTTACTTTTAGGAAGTTATTGCCATGGGGGGTTGATCTTTAAAATTCGTAATTTTGCCATATTTTTACGTTTTGAGACCCTTGGAAGCATATAGAAAGGTTTAAAAATAGATGTATGTACGTATGTGCAATTGTCCGTACGTATAATTATACGTACGTATGTCAGGTTTTTCTTTGTTTTCGATATCTCGAGAACTACTGAAGATATCGACTTAGGACTAATTTCATTTTAAAGATAATACGATGAAGAAGATCTGGAGGAAGTTTGAACAAATTCGGTCCAGCAGATTTTTTTTTATAACAAAAAGAGTGTAAAATAAGTTGAGTAAAGAAGACATTTGTATTCAAATAGATTCTATTAATTGAATGATTAATTAATATTAGTGGAAATTGAGGTCAATATCAATACGTTATGATTACTGATAACCTCTAATTACTCTACACAATTATATATTGTTTATAATAATTTTAGTTTATTATAAGCAATTCAAATATAACAGTAGTGACATGATAATGTTATGAATTTCAATAGATCTTTAAAATAAGAACATGAAGGATTTTTAATGAGAGAATGTGATGATTGGAAAATGGTTGATTTTCTAGATGATCCCCACAAGTTGCCAACAATGGCGTATTTCAACAATTATTGCAATGTTCATACACTTTATTGACTTGGACGAAAATAGGGCAAAATCTTGAAATCTAATAAAAGTCGATAAAGAGTGACAATAAAAGCTGTGAGATAATGACGAAGAGCACAATCAGACGTCAAATAAACTGCAGCTTAATCTGGCAGAGAACAGGAATGAAAGTTTAGCCAACTGAGATCTCTAAAGAATTACAAAAGAAATCCTAGTATAGTTCATGGGGATGTTTGAAGAGGGTGAGATTTGAAGGGAATTTAATTTTGTTCTTTTGAGAGTATGGAATAGGCCTCGGGTTACAACAGAGTAGATATGAACACACCATGATATTATAACCTTTCTTCGTCTGCTATTTTAAGTGAGAAAGACGGTGGTTACAAAATGATTCTTGAACAAGCCGGATGTTAAAAGACACGAAAACGTATTTTGAATTTACATTTTAATAGCACTCTCAGTGATCTCAAGCGTACACTTTCTACTTTATCGAATTTCATCGTCGACCCTTTTACCAAAACACTTGAACATTTTTTTTTAATTAATTGAATAACCTTTCTTTTTTTTTTTATATTTAATTATTACCATCTATAATAAAATCGTAGTTTATTCGCAGTCAAGTTTTCACATTTTATCGTCATGATAAATATTTTTTATGAAGTTATTACTCACACTTGTTAACAAATTGTTTATATACATGTTATTAAAAAATTTTTACTACACTTGGATCACAGAAAAATTATGATCCTTATTAGAACTTATATTACTTATATTTCATCATAATTTTGATTCTTTCAACGAGAAAAATTACCGTAATTAAATGTGAATGTTTTTACTTCTGAACACATAAAATGCTATTTACTGCACCAACTGTTTTATTTGTGTTTCAAAAAATTAAAATCACTCTAAATATACATAGATATAGTAGAGGTCTTGTCCGTTAGTTCATGCCCGCCAGCCAGATGGCGTTCAGCTAGAAATTTTCGTGCAAGAATAAAAAACTATAACAAGAGATAATAAGGCCGAAAAATAAGGGCCTAATAATTGTTTTCAGATTTACATTCTATAAATATTGCTTTGTTTAATGAATTTTTTTGTTATAAATCTGACATATTTGGCATTGGTTATTAATTATTACGAGCTAATTGATTTCATTGTTTATCTGCAAATATTAATTGCTTTGTTCAACTCTAGTCTTGTTTCCTAGTGTGGAATCCTGGACTAACTGAGCTTGAAGGTATCAAAAGGGATAAGAGAACTGTGTGTTACAATTCTCTCTCTGCGTTTACACTAATTAATAATAATTAATTGGTAATTAAATTGCCTGATAATTGAAATTTTATCATGTTCAATTTTTCACGGTTTAAAACTAGAAATGAAGCGTTATAAATAATTTAATAACTGAAAATTATGCATACAACAATAATTGTGAGATCAATGGAATAGAGAACAAACAACTGAGAAAGCTAGTAGATGGTTTAATATCGTGGCTTCGAAACATAAAAAGAGTAATGAAAAATGTTCGAGAATGAGCTATTACACGAAAAGCAGACAATCATGAAAATCTCATAAAAGCAAGCGAATAATCTCCTTTCTCGTAATCAATGGAGCTTGTGCAAGTAAGCAGAAAGGTAAAATGATAGCAGATCTTGTGCATAAACCATTCCATCTCAATTTGTCAGGTGGTAAATGATAAGGATGAAAGAGATGGTGAAGGTGAATGAGAAGGGAAAATAAGAGCGATGATGATAAGGATAAATTTTTCGGTTCTCAGCAGAACACAACCTGAGCAGAGAGATTTGCTATTTTCTGCTTAGGTCAACTTGAAAGAGCTGAAATGCTGTTTTCCATCTAGAGCTGTGTTACCTACAATTTACTCTCGGCACCGAATCTCCATTTCCCTTTAATTTGTCCTGAAGAAAAGGACTTCTCTTATACATCGCAGACGAATGAAGACGTGGAAAAGGAAACGCTAGATAAAATCGCCTAAAAGATACGTTGCAATTTAAGTCGAGAAATATAAGCATGAAGAAGCTCAAAGGAAAACTCGTTGAACGAATTTCTAAGTGAAACGAGGCTTCTTCACGATGCTTGGAAGAATATTTTCCGATTCGTATACACGACACAAAGTTTCTTCTTATTTTTATTTCATTTGGTGTTTTTTTTTTTTTATTTTTACTATCTTTGTATACGTCTCTTTACTTGATGCCTCTGTCGACGTGCATTTTTTGAAGATCCCAAATGGAATCACTCTCGTGTCTCTCGGTGTCTACGTTCGAAGAAGATTGTCGTCGATTTATATTAATGGCTTTTCAAATACCGTTTTCGCAGCACGACGATTTTCTCGTCTACGTTTTTTTTCCATACATTTTTTTACATCTCTATTTATTTTATTTTTTGCCATTCTCCAAGTACAATGTTCTTCATATGATCTTTTAATATAATTTTTTTGTTGGATTTTTCTGTCACCAGTAAAGAATTTATTGAATTTTTTTTAATATTCTCTAACGACTATATGAATGGATTGAACTTTATTTTATATTCTTTGTTGAATGTTGCAATCAGCAATAAATAATTGACTATTAAAAAGTGATATTCAATAGACAATAATAATTTAATAATGGAAATGAGAAAGAATTTCAACAAAACTTTGTGAGCTTAAGAATTTACATTAATAATTCTGCTTGATTGATTATTCCATTAAATTCGATGAGTCAGTCATAAAATTAATGAATGAACTTTTTTGCATGGAGTTTCATTGCAGTATCTTCAATCAATTCATTTTTCATTCATGTTAGTTTTATCAGTTGATATTTTTTTTTTTTCATCATTCTTTATTGTTCTATAGAGTACCTCAAATAAATTACCAATTATATGTCAATTATAAAATTCAATATGAAAAGACTGCAAAAAAGAATTGATTCCTAAAGAGTAATTTTCTTCTTTGAAAAAAAAAAATTATTTTAAAAAGATTATTTATAAAATTTTTTTTTGCTTTCAAATATAATGAAGAATAAAAAATGCAAATTTATTGAAGAGAGTATTCATGTTCGGGTAATTATCCTCAAATAAAATATAAAATATACTTTGATAATAAAAAAGAGTGTAAAAACATTTATAAAAAAATTACCATTGATGTTATGCTTCAGATAAAATCTAGCTTCATAAAAATATCATACAATATTTATTATTTTTTCATAGCACATTTTTGAGCTGGAATTTCATTTTTATCCAATTTTTTATTTCACATTCACATTTTCCACACTCTGCTGTCTAGATTCAGTGCTTTCTGGATTTTACCAATGTGCTGCCTCGAATTTGTAATTTCGATATTGACAACTTGGGAGTGTAAAAGAGTGAAAGAGAGAGAGAAAAAAATGGTTAGACAGATGGTATAAGAGAGGATAAAGAATGTAACGGGGTTAGAGGAAAAAAAAAAAAGACCAACTATCACGTCACGATTCTAACACAATTCGGTCTACCTTGCACGTACCACTTATTGGCCGAATGCCGAGTGCACGCA